TCTCTGTTAGACTAATGATATTGTAGATGTTTTTAGGTTGGATAGCATTCGAGAAGAGAGTTCTTCTAGAATAGTCTAAGATGCTTCTGACCTTATATAGTAGTAGATTAGTTTTTTGTCTTAGTCAATTGTTGTCTGTTGTTTCAGATTTGGGCGATATCACTATCACTTGGTTTTCATCTCCTTTGTATAGCTTGCCATTCCTTACACTAAAGTCTTTCTTTTTTTGCCCCTGATTTATAAGTTCTCTTCTTTTCTTTGAAGATTCGTTTTTTATCGCGGCTTCTTCGTTTGTTAGTTCCTTGCTTATGAATACTGGAGCTCCATATTTTTTCATTTTTCGTGCTGTTGATAAGATCAGCCGTTTCAGCCATACATTTGGCAGTTTAAGAAGTATTGTTCTGTCACTATCATTACCTCTTTGGCTTAGTCTAATCAAGTCGTTGAATTTACATTCAACCTCCAAATGAGTCAGGATTTTTTGTACTTTGCAGAAGTCGTTTTCTTGGCGCTTTCTAGGATCCTTGTCGTCGCTCTCTTTTACTCCTCTTATCCATCTTCCTAGTGTCTGATTTTTGTTATTGTTTTTGTCCGATGTGGTTAAGTTTGATTCCTTTTGATTTTGGTTTTTTTTTCTGATTATTTTGCTGGTTTTGATAGCATGTTTCTATTTTCCGAGACTGTCTCCTTAAGTTTTTTCATCTCATTTTCCATTTTTTCATGTTTCTCCTCCTTTACTGGGTCTGGTTTTGCCAGTAGTGACTTTATCTTTTCTTGTTGGTTTGGCGAAACGCACGGGTTACACAGTAAAAGTATGCTCATGCCCAATTCTTTTATACCTGACAATGCGTTGTTATCAAGTTTGGAGCACTTTGCTGTCAGATGCATTCTACGTCCATATGTTATGCAATCAAAAGATTGCTCTCTTGCCTTTATATTGTTGTTGCAAGTTTTGCATGTAATTTCCGCCATTACGGAGTTGTTTTTTATTTCAACCGGTGGTGCCTAAGGGCACCTTTGGAAGAATTAGGACAGGGACACCAGTTCTTACCGTTGGTACCTAAGGGTACATATGGTAAAAACTTCGGGACTTGTTATAGTATTGAATGACCGGTGGTGCCTAAGGGTACCTTTGGAAAATCAATACTAATAAATACTAACTGTCCTATTGGCGCGGTTGATACAAATGGCTACAGTGGCAGTTGTTTGTTTCGCAGTTGACAACTTTCGTGTTCCCTGCGTCGTTCAAACCTTTTGTGTATTTCGAATACAAAAGTTTTTCTTCGACTAGATTTTTTTTGACGTTGTCCAGACTGTCGTTGTTGAGGTGAATTTTATCTAATTTTTAATAGCCTCTGCCAGACGTGAAACTGCTGACACTTCGATTTTTCCACTCAGCTTTTTGTTTGAATCTGGGAGATATTCTTTCTGCTCTTGCTTTGCCGATATCATTCGTTACACTCGATCTTTCTCTATTTTTGTCGCGTTCAGGAATTCCCAGGACAAAGACGCTGCTGTGGGTTCTCTGGCAGGCAAAATCAGCAAGGTCTCTCAGATCTTGCGCAACTTTTTTTCGGAGTCTTCGACTAGGCCTCGAAACCGTCAAAGAGGTCGTTTCCTCCAATGAAAAGTATGATGATTTCAAAGCGACCTGCGGGTGGAATATAGTCGTATAAGTGCCTGATGCTGGCCCCAGGGAGCGACAAGATGTTGAGGTTTCCGGCTTTTAGGAATCTCGCTTGGGAATCCGCTAGGAAAAGGTATTTTGTTGGCGCCTTTAGAAAAGTTTTAGGGTCAGTCAGCCAAAAATGGATATCTCAAAATAGTACTAAGAAAGACACCCACCTAAATCCGCTACTGCTTTAATGTAAGTATCCTGATGAAGCACAGAGTTGCGAAAACGTTTGGAAAAATAATTGTCGTGAGGGGGTAAAATTTCTGCGATCATCGTTTGGATTCCTTAAACATTGACCAGGTTTTTTCTTCAAAACTATTGGCGATGCTTTTATGCAGCGTTGTTATGGGCTTATCCCAGCCGATAGATTCTCGAAACTATCTGAGGGAAAAGACAGCGGTCGTAAAATTCTGTGCTACATGGAGGACAGTTGATTTAAACATATTTTTTTAACTTTAGAATTAATATGAGCAAATATTGAAATAAAGAGATGAAATCTAAGTGCGAAGAATACTGGACACATCAGTTCTTTAAAATGGTTTGTTAAAATGACTAATTTTGTTGAAAGTTTCTGCAGCAAACATGACCGCCCGGTCAGAAATAGGTCAAAATTTTTTGAGCATGGCAACCAGAAAGATCGTTCCAGTTCTTTCGGTGATGTTATCAACCGACGAGAAGTTGAAATTCGCCAGATGACTGACTCACTTGGAAGTGTATTATCAAGCTCAGCAACCAAACTGTGTATTCACGAGAGATTTAGCGACCGGGAGTTTGAAGAGTCGTCCTTTTGTAAATGCGGAGTTTGCTACAATGTGTTTGGTAATGGAGGGATTCCTACGAGCGAAACATTTGGTGTTCCTGATTATAAAATTTGTGACCGAACCTACCGTTTAAATGAAACGAGCAGATTGCAAGAGGGAGAGTGCTGGAAGTGCAGATCCCAATGCTGGAAAAATTATAGCTTGAGCCACGCGTGGGCAAAGAAGCGGAACCAGTTGCCTAAGTATAAGCGGAGAGCTCATCAGCCAGTAGTGAAACTACCTGAAATTTCGGAACAACGTGTGCCTTTTCTGTTCGAGGGAGAATGGGTAGTCCCAGGTACAGCTCACCCTCAAACTGAACGCGAGCAGAGCATTAAAACACCTTATGAGAGAGCAACAGGTCCTCCAAATGGCCAAAGGTTTGGAAAAGTACTGAAATTGCCATCTATTCGCTCGTCGAACAAACTTGCTGCGAATATGCTTCCTTACACGGTTGTGGCTGAAGTTATGGGCGTGACTCCATCGAAGAACTTTCACTACAATGAAAAGACAGATGCTCAAATGAGGTGGCTTCTCATAAAAGCAAGTATGAGACGCCTCATTCGCATGGATAATGAGAAAAAAATGATGATGAGAGAAAATTTTGCGACGATGATGAGAGATGTCAAATTAATGGAACAGCAAAAGGAAGAGGAAGAGCGTCTTTTGAGAGAAATGGAACAGCAAATGAAACTGGAACAAACCAAGGAAACTGTCATAAGAAAAATAAGATTGTCTAAATTCAAAAACTCGATGGAGAAAGTGCTTAAAGACGAGCGTGATAAACGCGATAAAGAACAGCAACTTTCAGAAGCCAGGAGAAAGTTGTTGTCACATAAAATAAACATGTTCAAAGTGGAAATTGAAGGCGACCAGAAGCGATTTAATCAGTTTTTCTTCCCCAGGACTATGATTTTGGTCGAAACTAAGAGAACCACTCTTCGCAAGCAGTTATTTCGTCCCGAAACGCGTCCAAAATTGTACCGGAGCCAGTCCGTGGTTACAGTCCAGGAAAGGTATGTCGACAGTTTGTGGATGGAACCTCAGATTGATGCTTTTCTGGCCGAGCTAGATTGGTTGAACGAGGCAATTCTTAACAAAATGAGAACCGATTTCCTTGAACGTGTCTCCAGGGCATTCAATCGGCCTCTGAAATCATTGTGGTCAAAAAGTTGCCCCGAGAAGCTGAATGAAGACGTAGTTTATAAATTTTGTGTAGCTAAGCGTCAAGGTATTGAGGGAATGAGCAAAACAATCGAAAGTCTAAACTGGGGCTCAGAAAAAGAAGAGATAGGACATCGTAAGAGGTATATGAGCGCAGAAAGAGGATTGGATAAGATTGACCCAGGAACAGATGTTGATGTGATTTATAACTCTTTCGTGTATCAAAAGAAAAAGAAGGCTGGCGAAGAATTTGTTTGGCCTCCAGCGTCCAAGAAACTGTCAACCTGTGTCAAATCATCCCAGCTTTCGCACAGGCACAGTAAATCGTTGGATGACAAATCTCCGAAAAGAATCACTTCGGCTCCTAGCAGCTCGAATAAATTGGACATAGACACGAGTATCACGCATGCCAAAGCTGCACAAAAATCGATTGTTCTTGACCTGCGAAATCTGAAAAGTTACGGGACTCTCGTCAAAAGTAAAGATAACATTAATTCTGTTAACGAAAACGAAAATCCAACGATCGTAGATGTTGAAAGAAAAAAGCCAAAACCAGCTACAGGAATTGAAGAAAAAGGGAGCCTAAAGAAGTTAAGACGGGTCAGCGTCTCACTTGGTAAGGCTAAACAAGAAACGAAGCAAAGCATTAGAACAGGACCGAAAACGCAACAAAATCGGATTGCACAGGGCGAAACAAAAATGACCAGAACCCCATGGGGAAGAATAAAGACAGTCGTAAAAGCCAAGACAATTTTTGACGCACAGCCGAAGAAGAGCAAAAAAGTTCAGCTGCAAGAGGATGCTGCTCCAATCATTACAGTTAGAGAAGAAGCTGAAATCTGTGCTTCGATTGTACTAAAAGATCCTGATGAGTTTGTGTCGAAAGAGTCTATCGGCTTGTCTGATGGTGGGAGAGAAGCAACAATTGGCGAGGATGATTCGAAGCAATCGCCGACGTCGAGTGTTGACAGTATCGATGCGAAACTTACATTACCGTAGTTAAATTAATAAGCAAAACTTAAGCAAGTTATTTGGTTTTTCCTGTCGTGATTAGTCAAATTGAAAATTTAATTTGCAATCCTCAAAGTGCAATTCATCCTATATCAATCATTACAGTGCTAAAAAGAATCATCATCTTAGTTCTATTATAATTCGCTATCTGTTAAATGTAAATAAAATGTACATAGTTGTAAATAAGCACATTGTAGAATTAATTTTAGCTCCAAATTTACTTCAGAAATAGATTTTATTCCATTTTTCTGCCTGGTTATAATCAAGACAAAATGTCAGATTCAGTTCAATTTTGACGTGTGTTTGGCTAAATCTAATTCTAGCACACATGATTCAATATTTTCAGAAACTAAGATGAAATCGATAAAAACGAAAACAAAATCTACAATCACGTACAGTGCTATTAAATTCCTAGCGCAGTGACTCAGCTCAATTCGAAACAAATGGAAACTTTAGTGGCCATTTAAACAGGCGAAAAACATTTTCTCCTATGTCAGTTTTGACAGACAAGAGGACGGCGTTGAGTGTTGAAAAATCGAATGAAAAAATGGGCGATTTAAGAGTCTTCGGCGGGCATAGTTTTGCCATGCCCTCCGTTGACGCTCCGAATGGAGCCGAAGATCGAATTGGACCAGGAAATCACGGTGCATTGGGCTTAAACGTAGCTTCATACACACTGCCATCCGTGAGCTACAACACAAACAATTCTGGATCGTCTGGGTGAGAATCTGGAACTGCTTTATTTTTGTAAAAAAAAAACGACTCTGTAGGATTTTTTTAAGTTAAGACCATTTATCCACGGGGGAAAGGACCAACACAAGAGCTGTATAGCTCATCACGGCGAACCGCTGTTGTGCCACTGTTTAAGAACTACATGCAATTTTTTTTTGGTTATTTTTCTGGGCTGGGTAATGTTGCTTCACCCTTAAGCAACGAGAACAGATCATGGTGGGCCTCGAACATCCAACCTTTCGATTGAGAGGCGGAGACGTAACCACTTCACCACCGCTCCCCCTTTTTGAATATTTCTACAAGGGCGGTTTAAAGAGACGGGGGTAATTGGGACGCTCTCACCTGCGAAACGCTCCTTCCCCTCTTGTAGAATTATACAATAATTGGTTTTATCGGTCAGGTGAAAATTAATCTTAACACCATGAGGTGTAAGATACTATTAGGGAGGAGGATGCGCCGTAAAACGTGATTTTGAAACTAAGCCCTCCTAAACCCACTTTTTGGGAAGTTTTTGTAAACGAAGGGTACAACTATGTGATCGTACTTTGAAACATCCACCCTCTTGCGAAAGTCTCAGTTTAGCTCCTTTAATCACAGATGCTTAGCTCACAAATGTGGACAATTAGCAAGTTTAGAAAATGGCAGCGCAGTGACACTTTTTCGGAAGAAATTGTCTTTCAGTGTGTGGAATCGAAAACCATCATACTTACCTTTTCCAAGAACTTCAATACGTTCGACAGTTTAGAGGGCTGAACACTGTTGAGGGCTGAAATCTGAACATTTGGATGATTTGTCTCTGAGAGGAGACATTTCGGTAGTTAAGATTATTGCGGCGAAATCAATGCGGAGAGGAGTTCAATTATTTTTCATTCTTGCTAATCATCCGTCAGATATAAATTATAACTCGCTTCCCGGGTTGTTATGGATAGAGAATTTTATTAAAAGCATCACTTGTCGTCCATGACTCTGTAAACCGAGAAAGTGCTTCGTGCTTAATAGTAGACACTCTCAGGTGCTTAATTGTCGGGAACTCGAGGATCGAACCAGAGACTGGTCGCGTCCACGATTTCAGGCTAGTAAGAGGAATACGGAGTATTTCAAAAATCTGACAAACGTTTTTGTCTCTCATACTAGTCTTTATAATGGCTTTGCTATAAAAATTGATTTGAATTCAATATCTTGGAAGTTTTCAAATAATAATACCCTCCCTGGATAAATAGTTTGGTGGATAGGTAATTATGACCCCTCCCCAATAATTAAGCACCTGAAATTAATCAAAGGTATTTCAATTTGAAAATATAAGCAAGCAAGGTTTCTTGCTAGCTTATATTTTGACCCCTAGGTAATTATGACCCTTCCCCCAATAATTAAGCACCTGAGAGTAATCAAAGGTATTTTATTTAGACAATATAAGCTAGCAAGCTTTCTTGAACAAAGTTTGGCCAAAGTGGCGACACTCGTTTTAAACTGCATCATGATGTTGGAGAAACTCTTAGTGGTTAAACTGCAGTCTAGACGCGGTTTAATCATGACGTAAGACAATGTGATGTTGCTTTCTAAAATGATCGTCAAATTATATATACTGTTGTATGTTTAGCTTCTGTGACGCAAGCTCTACTGTCGAATTTATGACCAGTGCAACATGTTCGTCCTACAGCATTTCAATATCATCTAGTCGAAGCAACAGTTTCTCGAATGACCACGAAGACAACTCCTCACTCTCCTGTTACTCCACAGCCAATCACCTCCCTCAACAAATCAGCTGCGCGTCTGATCACACCAACGCAAACATAGTGGGAAGTTCAGGCGCGAGGGTTATTTTAGTACCGGATGCAGAGACACTTCGTGTGAGTCATGGTGCCCCAAAGAAAACGACTGGACCAGTCGATATGCTAATCAGCAAAATTGCCAAATTTTCTCTGAGTAGTAAGTGGACTCTTTTATCATTACCAGATGTGAGTAGGAAAACATCTTATGCGGCTTACTAAGTGAGATAGTTTCGTAAATATTTTTCTTGAATATTGTCTCTCGATGCTTCGATTGCAGTTAATTTTGAAAGTGAGGCTTTAGTTACTTGTGAGAGCAATTGAAGTGTTAATTTGATGATTCGAAAACTAGCCTATCCTTTTTACCCTTGCGATTCTCTTCAGTTAATTTTTTGTAGTCGAATAAATTTATTGAAAAGTTGTGCATTTTTTCAGATTCGTATTTCCGTTTTTAAGAGTCGACTTCACTTTATTTCCTCCACAGTCGAACATCGAAAGTGTAAAGATCACGAAAAACGTGATCAAATTCTAGTTTCGAAATTGAAATTTAATTTTCAGTTTTCCCACCAAATAATAATCTTACTTATTGATCCATTTTTCTCAATGTGGGTTATTTTCATCAAAACAAGTGCAATTGTAAATTGTTTTATAAATTTAAAGAGCTTTAAGGGTATCTATTTTGTTGAAATTCGAAAGTTGAAATTTTTTCAAAAAACAGCAAGTTTTTAAAATGCCATTTATCTGTTACGATTATCGGCTTACTTTTTCAAGCATTTTATTCTGTTTTGATCAGACTTACTTTAATTGAAACTTTAAAAGTTTACCTGGTCTGATTTTGAAAAAAAAAAAATCAGAACAGATGGGTCGTGAAAACGTTCAAAAAGTTTTAATCTCCGTTTTTTTTCATGACAGCAGTTATTTAGTCGACTCAGCAGGAATCAACTCAAAGTTTGTTGATTTAATTGCATCTCGGTTATTGATCCTCACTGCTTTTTAAAGCTGTTTTGAACATCATCTGGTACAAACATGAAGTTTTTGTAGGTTAATTTTTTCGATTATATTTTTTCAACTCGCTTAGCCTGTGTTAATTATCTATACCTTTATAAACTTTTTTCCTTAGTCGACTGACAACTAAAGCTTTCAAGCATTCATTTTTTTCGGACTCTTCATGATGTTGGAACCATGACGTAGGATGTTTTTTTATCTATATAACTTTCAGGGAAAGCTTCTGGGGAGCAGATCAAGCGGGGTATCGAATTAAAGCCCGATTGTTTGTCATTCCGATTCCAAAAAAAATCATCAAAGTCTCCTTGTCAAAAAAAATTGATCTGATTTGGTGTTTTTGAGTTTAGCTCCCATGACCAACTTATCATCTATTTCTTTTGCAATATTTCCGTTTTTCTTACCACAGGTTTGCAATCTAGTTCAATTAGCTCCCAATTGGCTTATTATCGATGTAAGCAAAATAACATCTGTTGTGTAAGTGAGTCTTGAAAAACAAGATTTCACCCTGTTTTTCTCGATAAATTTTTGAAAGTTATTTGATATCTTAGTCAAGACTAGAAGAGTTCTCAAATGATACCGCAGTCGATGCCATGTGAGTTATTGGGTAAAACTTTGGTTTGTGTGACGTAAAACACTTGGGAGCTTAATTCATTGTTAAAACTGTTTTTGATGGCTACCGACATTACCTTTTTTGCTTGATTTAATCTTCTTGTTCTTTACACAAGCATAGCTTGTGTTATAGTGTGAACTATTTTTTTTTCAACCTAAGTCGCAAATATTGTAGCGATAAAATGTGTTCATTTTGAAAGTGTTAATTTTGATCAATACCAGCTATTAAGTACGGCCAATGCTAAGGATATTAACACCGACTATTTTTGTTCCGACTTTCGTAAGGAAAGTAACGGAATAATTGTGCCCGGGGTGGGTTTTTTTCTTCAGACAAATTTCGACTTTTAACTAGCCATTCTTGACGGAATTGTTTTAATATCATTCAAAAGGTATTGTTGTCCTGAGCTTTAATTTGAAAAGATATTTATCCTGTGATCATTTTTCGTAAAGTTATGGGGGTTTAAAATTTGCCGTTTTGGTCAATTTGGGAAAATTAATGCGCGATATATTTCGCGCATCAAAATTTATCACAGTTTATATGGCTGGGGGGATGATTTTCATAAAAATCTCAAATTTAAAACTAAAAAAAAAGCTCTTTCTATTTTAATTACTGTTTAATTTTTTCATGTTATTACTGCTTCATAAACCTTAAAAGGCGGTCGGATCATTCAGGGCATCGCCCTGATACGAACAGTCTTGTTTAGTGATTTTAATCAATCACATCGCTAGCAATACGACTCTGTAAACTTAGGCTCTGTAAAGACTTTCAAATTTGATTGCTGAATAAAGTCAGAAATTCCATATTCCCTTCTTAAATTTATTTTCCCTTTTAATAAGATTTTTTCTCTGATTATAATTTCTTTTCGTTTAGTAAATAGTTGGAACAGAACCTAAGTTTCTGTTCCGACTCCGCGAGAAAATTACAGAATCTTTGTGCACGGTCCAGTTTTTCTTCACGCAAACTTATAAAATTTGATTAAAATTTCTGGAGCAAAGTTTTACTCATTCTGTTTTTCCCAGTATCGTTATCGGTCATATTTTTGCCTCTGCATGGGAAGAGCTACTTGGCCTCTGTGTCTTATTTTTAGCAAGCATTTAGACAATATTGCCTATGTGCAAACCTCAATCTGTTTTATGGATGCATTGAGTGATATAATTTTGCATTTTGAAGGAAGTGACGGAATATTTGTGCTCTGGGTGTTTTTTCTCCAGACAAGTTTCGATTTTGTAACTAGTTTTTTGGGCGGGTTTTTTGTGCCATCTGCAACTTTTTGCCCAAAGCTCAAAATGAAAAAGAAATGTCACAGACAATTAGTTCTAAAGTCAAGGGGTCTTGAATTTAACACTAATTTCACGGTTACATATCATTTAGATTCAAGTCAAATTGTTCCTACCCTACTGGTCCTGCTCCAACTTTTCCTATGCCATCATGTCCCAGATAATGAAGATATAAAATTTGCCCAAGATTTTTGAAATCCTTGTAGAACATAGAGCCGGCTTAAAGATAAAAGCTACTTTTTCGACTCTTTTGATGACTGACACTTTTCGATAAAAATAGATCAATTTGAAAAAACTGGATTGCTAAATTTTCTTCTGCTCAATTTTGGTATTCATTTAAAGAAAATGGAGGGTGTTTAGCGTTCAGTTGTTATAGGTGCCGGCCTCCTATCGAGCATCCAACAGGATTTAAATTATGTGATATCATTTTCATTGCAGTTTAAGCAAATTTTAACATATTCCAGAAAATTTGAACAAGTGCTATTTCAGGTTAATTTTCGAAAAACTCCTTAGATGTTCGTTTGAATGTCATTTTTTTTGCTTGAATCAGAATGCACAGCTGATATAGCAATTGAATAGGATTTAAGCTCGGAGATTTTGATTACATTTGTGAAGTGCTTACAAAATTTTGCAAAAAATGTAAGTTTTATTTACTCCTTTTGGTTCAATTCATTGACTTTAAATTTTCAGCGAAGTATGGCGTGGAAGACTGGGGACTGCATATTTTTCTTTTCTAAGAGGCACCAAAGAATGCACTCATACGACATAATATAAACATGGGAACTTCGCTTGTAATTCAGAAACTCTCACAAAATGGAATCCCGATATCTTTTTTTTGCAGTTTCCTAGTGCTATTTTTGACCATTTTTTTAATTTGGAAATGCGGCTTTGCCTCTGTTCCTTAATTATAACGACTGCTGTGTTCGGACCATTTTGTGCTTCTTGCACAGAAATTGGCTAATTTTTTAAATTATTTTGAAGATGAGTGAAGTTATCGCAATTCATGTTTCTTCTGTTTTCAGCCTCGCCTCCAGGCGGTCTGGCCAAGAGCCAAAGTTCCAATGCCCTCTACCCTTCTCAGCAAGAGAACTGCACGACGTGCCAAACTGAATCTCGGAAAAGTGACACACTGACATCCTACCCATCGTCTACCCTCTACACGCAGCAAAGGTCAGGCAGTCCGAACTTGAAGGCGAAACCAGACCTGAACAACCAAGTGGCTCTCCTAACTGCCTCCTCAACTCAAGCTTTAATACTTGAAAATCGACCAGAAAATTTACCTCAAAAAGATCCAAAGGAAGCTAAGAAACACCTGGAGCAGTACCGGTCACTTCTGGAAGAGCAGAAGAAACGAGAACTGGATAAACAGAAAAGTTTGCAGAAGAAATTCCAAAAGCGATGTAAATTTGCAGACGATATGTCTCAACTGCAGTCTGTGTGGCTCAATGACGTCATTCCAAATTGGAGTGAACTGAGAAGTTCACGACGGGTCAGAGATATGTGGTGGTTAGGAGTGCCCCCAAAAGTCAGGGCTAAACTATGGCCCCTAGCTATAGGAAACTGTCTTAATATAACCCCCGAGCTTTTTGACAGCCTGAGCTCCAAGTCAGTCGAGTTAATTAACCTGTTTAGTAGTAATAGTGATCAACAATCTAATTGTAATGGCTCATTGACAGAAAGTCATTTGAGTAAACGAAGAGCTTCTGAAGACGTTATCGGTTTGATCAAATTAGACGTGTCGAGGACGTTTGTCCGTTACAAAATGTTCCAAGAAGACCCCTTCTATAGAGAATCGCTACAGAAGCTTCTGGCTATTTTCGTGTGCTACAGACATGACATTAGCTACATCCAGGTTTGTCCTCAATTTTTTTTTGATTTTTTGAAAGTTTCTTAATTTTTCAATTAATTTTCTTGGTTTTTCCCATTGTTTCTTGAATGTTTAAGAACAGCTTACAATTTTAGTATAGATGTAATAAAGGGATCGGTTTTTGGGACAATGATGGAGAATTGCGTTGCGTTGCAGTTTATATCTGAAATTTCAGGCGAAACCTCGAATTTTTCTTTTTCACTCAGTGGTGGTATGAGTCGCTTTTTTCATGATACTTTTGTACCTGCAGGTAGGGAGTAGTATTTGTTTCAATGTGAGGCACTTAGCATTGTAACAAGTCGTTCACTTAAAGATAGTCAGATTGTGTATTCGGTCACCTGTCATGGCAATGATAGTGTGTGAGAACGAGCTCTCACTTGACCTCTAGCTTCAGGTCCACCACAGCTTGGCCAATTGCGGCTGCAATAGTTTATCTCGTGAAAAATTTAGACGCACTTGAATGTCTAAGCCTTTCATAGGAAACAAATTTCTTTCATAGGAAACAAGTTTTATGTCTTCATGTTGCTATATGTTTGTTTAGGGCATGAATAGCATAGCTGCCGTGCTGCTGCTAAACATGGACCTCGAACCTGCTTTCATCTGCTTTGCCAACCTGATCAACCGCTCAATCCTCATGAACTTCTTTGCCCTCCGATTGGACAAAATAAACCACTATTACAGACTGTTTCACTTCTTCTTCGCGGAGAACTTAGCCAAACTTTGCAATCATTTCACGAATATCGAACTCACCCCTAAGTTCTACCTTATGCAGTGGATCCTCTCACTTTTCAGTAATGTTTTGCCATTGGACATATCTAGTCGTATTTGGGACGTGTACCTGCTAGACGGTGATATTTTCCTATTTAGAGCAGCCCTTGGTCTCTTGAAGTATTTCGAAGAGGACTTGATGAAAATATCGGATTTCACAGAAGTCGCTCAATTTTTCCACAAGATGCCAGATGACATTGATGTGGAAAAACTGTTTGCATTGATCAGATCAATTTCACTGTCAAGAAATAAGTTCAGAAAATACTGCGAAAAATTCATAGACTCGACGAACGGTTAAATGTTCTTTCCAATTAACTCAGGCATTCAAATCGCTAAAGTCTACTTGGTGTAAACGAGCAAAATCTATTTGTTATATAATAGCCTCTATGTATTTGTTGAAGCGATCATATTTTCAAAGCCTCAGAACATTATCATAAAGGAAGTTTTTGAGTGATTATTTTTGTACTTAAATTCATCGAGTTTCCCCCAAATTCTAGTTGTAGATTTACCTGAAGAGAGTTACTAACTACTTAGCTAATTTCTATCGCATCATGCAGTATATACATAAACGTGCTACTAGTTCTTAAAGCTTCGTAGCTATAAATGTCAAATAAATTATTTTTTCATATTTGTTTCCTGGCAATGAGTGAGAGCAATGCGGATTAAATATCAATGAGCGAATTGATTAATCAATAGTTTAGGACGTGGTATTCTTAGCGTTCCGTTTTTCAGGAAGTCATCAAAAATCAGAAATAGCGCGAAAAAGTGATTCACTCTGTTTCAAATGTGGGTTTCAGATTTTATAGCGGAATAAAAAGTTTATCTCTTATTCAATTTTTCTAAATTCTTTTTCGGTAATTTTTTTTGCATTACATTTTGCAAAAACTAATTGCATTGCATTAACTCTAAATCAATTGAACTTGAGGGAAAAAGCGTTTTAATTTTTAAAGATTTTCACAGCATTTGAATCTGCAGTTTGTCGTAGAAAGTTGTTTGAATCAGCCTTGTATCATTGAAATTCACTGCAAATTGTTTTTGGGTTGAGCGCTCTTAAAAAAACACTCCATTATGGTATGGATGAGGTCTCCAAAAAATCAATTGTTGGTCTCAGGAAATCTTATATATTATTCGAAAATGGTCGGATAGTTTTTGTGTATAAAATGACCCGCTGGATAGTTTCAAAAAACCACAAGGATCCGCAACAAGATTTCAACCGTAATTTTTCACAAGCGATGAGCGCAGTATATTACTACGAACATTTTTTGTTTCCTAACCTAACTCGCGAATAAAAGTGTTCATTCAAAGTGTTCAATTATTTGGTGGCAGTTTTGCTATAATTACGATCTGTAGCATTGGAAATTTCATACCAATTGCTTTCTGCTTTATTTGTGGCTAGTATTTGTGATGATCAATAAAGCGTCCGTGGTTCAGTGGTTAGTGCTTGAGATTTGACATCTCTTGGTCGCAATCTGTCGGAGATCGAATCCGAGGCGCCGCCGAGTTTTAACTAATTCTGTATCAAATTATTGTCTGGAATAAACCCAATTTGAGAAAAACGCAGATGAATGTACTGAAAACGCCGTTTTATTTGTTTGTTACACTTGTGAGAGCTATTTGTAATCAGGAATAGCAAAGCAAATTCATTTTTTTTTTACAGATTTCTCAAAAAAATTTTCCGTGCATTTGCTTTATTATTGAACTGTATCAAGTTCCAGGATCCGTCTCAGGTAACGCGGATGCTTTTGCGTCCTAAGGTCTTGGGTACGAGTCCGGGTCTAAGTTTTTATTCAGTACGTATATTACCAATAACCTTCACTTAATTTAATTTGGAACGCTGAAGAGTAATGCACGAAGTGAAGACTTGTATATAGGACTTGCTCTTTTTTTTCTTCAGGAAAAAGTCTTATTCTTCGATTGGCTATGTGTATAAAAGTCTCTAATAACCACAGATGTGTATTCATACACATTGATACATTTATGAATGCACTTAGGAATATATGGACATTTTGAGTTCAGTTGAAGTTCATCTGCTGAAAGTTACGTAAATAGCACCCTCGAAATACGAACGTGGAAATGGCGCAAAAAAACGTGAACGATTTTTAGTTTCGAGTTTGTTTTTAAGATTTCCCAGCGGATTGAAAACTTAAATTATTGACCCAATTTTCTCGTTTATGTTGGGTTTATGTTCATGCGCCAATCAGAAATTCAAAAACTTAAAGGCATCTATTTATTCTTTGAATTTCGAAAGTTGAAAATTTTCAAGAAATTCAGTGTTTTTTTTGTTTACTTGCGTTCATTACTCTTTTCCAATCTTCGATTGGCTAAGTTGTTGAGTAATTAATAATTTTTTATAAATAAATAGTTGGCATTACACCTAAGTATCAGAAACAGAATTTTCATAGAGAGCATAAATTGATCCAGAACTCAGCAATTTTCAAGTCTTTCGTACTTATAAAATGGAACGGAGGTAAAAGTATATATGTTTTAAATTGAGAGTCACTGTTCCGTTGGTATATAATATGAAATTTGAATAAAAAGAATGATATATTAAACAATAAAAGTTCGAATAACAAAATAAAGTTCAAAAAATCATATTAAAAAACAATACTTTCCCTGACACACGTAAGGTCATTTATTAAATATATTTTTCTAATTTTGGTTTAATTTCTGAGCCTTTGAATTTATCGCTTAACCTACCCGTTATTAAAAAACTGGTAAACAGTCTGGTTTAATTCTACAACGTTGGCTAAAATCTTCCCGTATTTACTCCCCAATAATTTCATGAAATATAACAGGTTGAATATATTTTTAAGTTTGAGATCAGTAGATCAATATCTTTCAGGTTATACAAAAGATTTTCTGATGAAGAAATAATTGAAAATTTAGAATTTGTCCGGAAAAAAATACATGCTACGATGTATAATAGTATAGTAATTAATTTTTTTGAGCGCTGAAGCCTGACTTCTTTTGATCATTTTTCCTTTGAACTAAACAAAATTTACCAAAAATTCAGATTAATTTATTGCAAAATACTAGTATTCTTTTTGTATGATTTAAGTTTAAGCGCAGTACTCATCTAGATTTAGACTACTATACGATAATCTAAAACTTAAAATAAATAGTTTCATTGCTAACACGAGCAGGATATACATCATAAGTCAAAAACAAATAAATTATATTACAAGACTGCTGGCATATCAGGGCGAACCCGAGAGTTTTCCGACTAACCTCCAACTGGTTTCGAACAAGTTTTTTGGACTGCCTAAGTTTAATGAAAACTAAAATTGGGATAGAACCTTGTCAACAATTGAAATTCTAGAAAAAAATGATATTATCAATTAACTTGCATCCTGAAATGACTCACCCGTTATGCTTACAACAGCATAAACGAAACCTTATACATAAAACTAGGATATGTCGGATTGTCAGTTTTCATGTCTTACAAACCTAAAAAATTCAGGCAGAAAAAACTAGCGTTTTTAATATTTTGACGCCAGGGACTTGCTAACTTGGAAAGAAAAAGTTAACAAATCCGTATATCAGCAATAATAGAATATTCTCAATTAAAGTTGGCATCCGGGCTGGTTTATTTCACCGCTAAAACTACTTGTTAAAAAACTAACTAGAGTTGTAACTATCCCAAACTGGCAAAGATCAAAAATCAGAGGTTAAATTTTTTTTAGCTCAGGGCAGGAGCTGATTTAGGGGGGAGAGGACGCTTCTCCTGAAGAAATCGACCCCATGCCGACCAAAAGGGTCCCTCTTTGTACTATTTTGAGACATCCATTTTTGGCTGACTGACCTTAAAATTTTTATAATGGCGTCTTGGGCCCCAAAATATAGTAATTTTGATGGGGGTGCGCGCGCCGAAAAAATGCAATTATTAGGTCAAATTTTTTCAAAAATTGCTTAAAAAGCCTTTTAGGCCTGTTTTTTTTTTTTCAAAAATTTGCACCACAAAAACGCGTGTGAATTATGTTGTAAATAAAATATCGATTTATGTATCTTTTTTTAAGGTCTACCAAAAAAAAATTTCGAGCATCCCCAGAATACCATAAAAACCATATTTTGACCACAATTTTGCACCGCAGGCAGTTTTTGAAAACACAGGCCGAAAAAGCTTTTTCAGGCACTTCTGGAAAATTATGACCACAACATCGGATTTTTTGGAGTGCGCTTCCCCATCAAAATTAGTAAATTTTCTCGACTTTAAAAGTTTTAGGGTCTGTCAGCCACAAATGTATATCTCAATTTATTACAAAAGGGAAATTTTTTAGGTCGTCAGGGGGTCAAGTTCCTGGAAAGGGGTCATCCCCCCTAAATCGGCTGGTGATCACGGACGCATTTAAGCTGGACTGGGATGGAAGTCTGCCCAATCAGCCCTTCACGCTCGACACCCTTACCAGTGGCTCTTTTTCTGGTGTCTCTAATGATTTCTATATTTGAGAAAAAGCACAAACCAAAGAAAAATTTCAACTGTCCGAAAACAGTATTTGCTGGCTTTCTTTTCATTTCCCAACTTATGGTTCACACAGATTTTTTAAGAAATTGTAAAACTGTGACAATCTAAAAAAATCAAAATTTTTTTTTGTGAGCATCCACTTCCTTAGAAAAAAGTTTTTGATTTCCCAAATGGTTCTAAAAATTCTCTAAACATTAATTTTACTCGACTTAAATTGAGCTAAGCATAAATAAGTTTACGGAAGGGGCCTAAATTGAGAATAAATAAGCGTGCTCGCTCGCCTTACCTCTCGAATTTAGACGGAAAATCAAAAAATTTCAAACCGGTTTTTCCCCGACGACGAAAAAGTTTTTTCAAAACTTTTAAATGTTCGAATCACAAATGAAAAAAGTTTAATATAAGGTATCCTCAATTTTCTCCGATGATTATTAGTTATAGCTAATTTTGCGTGAAAAATAAAAAAAAACTGAATACAAAGTTTACCCCTTTTTCAAATGGTCTGAACAAAAAGCCAAAAATTTCAGCAAAAGCCATTATAAACTTGGTTCACGCGCTCTGTACTATTCATGACATTTCCTTGTGTTAATATAAATGGAAGTACTATTCCCCTTTTGTACTATTTTGAGACATTCATTCATTTGTGGTGACAGACCCTAAAAGTTTCCAAAAAGCGCCTTCGGCGCGAATATATACTAATTTTGAGGGTAGAGCGCTTGCCGAAAAAACGCGATTTTTTATTCAAAATTTTCCAAATAAAAGCCTGAAAACGCGGGCAAGTCCATGGCTTTTTTTCAACAAGTTGCCTGCGGCGCAAACATTTGGTCAAATTAGGGTTTTTATAACGGTTTGGAAGACCTCAGAGAAAATCAATTTGGTCGACCTAAATAAAGCTCGAAAAAACTTTCAAAGACATTTTGTTTGAAAATCCGCTCCCGCCCCCCTCGAGAAATTCTTAGATCCGCGCCTGATTAGGTTAAACAAAATATTGTTGATGGTAGGTTGTAAATTATAGTTATTTCCAATAAAACATCCACTCCTTTCAAGTTAATTGTAGATATGCCTCTGGTAAAAAAAAAACAATCTGTTGTTTCCCTCGTTTCCGCTTTGCTTGAAACTACTTGTTAGTTCTTAAACTTACATAAAACTACTTGTTAGTTCTCTGTTCAGTTAACGATTAATATTTTGGATATTTTTTATTGAAAACTTCCGTG